TTTTCTTCTACACTACTCCAATTAGTCAAACTCTGATTAGGATGTGCTTTCAGCCACTCCTTTGCCCTACCTGCCAAAGAAAAAGGAAATAATATCAAATATGCAGATTCAAGATTTGCTGCTCTAAATCTCATGGTATCAATCAACTCATAAAAAATAGACAAATGAAAATAAGGGTCTTCATGATCCAATTCAGTGAATTGATGAGCACTAATCAAGCTTAAGATAGCTGGATTCATCTGCAATGTATGATCATTCGGAATGACAATGCTGGAAAAATGCCTTGGACCTTGTTGCATAGCACAATTTCTAAGAGTTCTTCTAGGTGGATTTGCATTTGGATTTGGATTTTGATTTGGATTTGGATTTTGATTTGCTCATTCTTCCGTCATATCTTCTATAATATGGTCTGGTAAATCAAGTGTGAAAGAAGAATTAACAGATTCTCTTGTGGCTTGTTCTTGAGTTTCCCTTCTTCTTCTACCCCGGTTCCTCCGAGCTGTTTTTTCAATTTCTGGATTAAATTCTAACTGCTCTAAAGATACTTGTCCTCTTAAACGCATAAATCAAAAGAGTAATTCAATCAAATATTAGCACAAACTAAAAACTAAATAATAATAATAACGATAATAATAATAATAATAATAACGATGATAATAATAATGATAATAATAATAATAACGATGATGATGATAATAATAATAATAATAATAATAATAATAATAACGATGATAATGATAATAATAATAATAATAACGATGATGATGATAATGATAATAATAATGATAATAATGATAATGATAATAATAATAATGATAATAATGATAATAATAATAATAATGATAATAATAATGATGATAAAAAAATACTCAATAAGCTAAACAAAGAATTCTCAAAGAACACCGTTCCTCAGAATCGGCGCTAGAAATATTTGTTGAATTATTGGCAAGCGTACCAAAATTATCAATTGCAGTATAATATTTCGATAAAATAAAAGTCGATCCCACGAGGAACAGTTTCAATGGAAATTCCCAATTTTATGCTTACTAAGTAGATTAAAACATAATGAGTTTTGCATAAAGAGTTGAATTGAAATTAAATGACAAAGAACTGTAAATTGTTGAGAAAATATCAATTAAAGATACTTAGGATTGACTTCCTTCCTTATCCCTCTTTTGTAATGACTATGTCAATTAACCTAACAATGTTGATGTCATCTACTCAAATCATCCATGTTGATTCCTCACACATGAAATTCATAAGAAAACCTAATAAATGTTGATTCCTCACACAATTAAGAGATTTTCCAGCATTAGGTTTAGGGTGTTTAAGCAATTGATACATTCATTCTATTCCTGACAATTAATGTAACAAATATTCTTACCGTGATCTAGGGTTCAAGATATATTTTCCAATCATACCTCAAAAAATCAAGAATAAATCATTCCAAAGCATAAAGGATAAGAATAACAACAACAACACATAGATTAATATCTCAAAATATCACCATGATACAAAAGAGTTCAAAGGAAGTGCACTGAATCCTAGGAGAATGAAGTTAGCCACTCATGTTGGCCATTACAATGCTCTAATTGATGAAGAAGTGAATAATTGATGGAGATTAGACAAAACCCTAATAGTAGTCGTGCCTCCTCTCCTCCAAGACTGTTTTTTTCTCAAAACACAACTTATCTTTTTATAAGAGAATTTGAGTCGGGTCTCGCATCATTCATTCGTTTAAGCGCTCTTCTTTCTTTCAATTTTACTCCAATTATGCTGACAATTATGTTTCTTACTCTTGTATCAAGGTATTCTCGAATTCATCCTATATTGAGAGAAAAATATATTAGAATTAACATAAGTTAAGTGGTTTTATAACAATTCAAGGCATAATTATATCAACTTTTTACCACTTAATAGTACCATTCAAACATAACAAAAATTATTCACATTTGTCGGATTATGGACCACCTGTCCTCACGGCTCATTCGGGTCAATAAAAATAGTATTTGATTGATTCTGGCACCAACCCTCCAGCTCAGTCTAGCCAATATATAACGTCTCAGGACTGATTCTGGGCATCAGACCTCAGGCTCAATCTGACTCACACACGTCACAACACACTACTTTCATTCTCTCTCTCTTTATATATATTTTTTTCTAAAATCATTTCCGAAATCATTTTTGAAATCATTTCCGAAACTATTTTCAAAATCATTAAATTACTATTTTGTCCTTAATATTTTCTTAAAATTCCATGTATGTCCCTAAATGACTATTTTACCCTTGGACATTTTTTAAAATTTCTTTCATGTCCTGAAAATGACTATTTTTCCCTTGGACATTTTCGAAAATTCCTTCCATGTCCCGAAAATGACTATTTTGCCCTTGGACATTTTCAAAAATTCCTTCCATGTCCCAAAAATGACTATTTTACCCTTGAACAATTTCAAAAATTCCATTTATGTCCCTAGGATGTAAAATAACTATTTTGCCCTTAAACATTTTCAAAAATTACATTTATGTCCCTAGAATGTAAAATGACTATTTTACCCTTGATCTTTTTAAAAAAATTCCCACCATATCCCTTTCTTCTTCCTTCACCCAATAATCGTATCGAATTTTGCAGATTTTGGCAGATTTCAAATTACTCAGTTTTAGACAACCAAACTAGTCCCAAATCGAAATTAAACATGAATTATATCTAATTTAAGTTGAAAACAAAAATTTTACCATATAATTCATCCTTAATTTTAAGAATTTCAAAAACTTTCAAACCATGAATAGTGCATCCAAAATCAGAAATTCTTCAAAATCAGACATTCAAATAATTCATATCTCTACTCTTATTCCTTATTCACAGGGTATTCACAGAGTACCCAACAATTCAATATCATATATTGAATGAATTAAATTTCCCTTTACCTTGTATCCGAAGCTTTTCTACTTAATTCAAACTCTCTCCTGTTTCACCAGATCCTGCAGGAGTAGAGTATAGTTGCTTGAAATTTAGACAAAAGAAGAAAAAAGATGAGAGAAAATTTTTATTCTGTCTCCTTCCCGCTTCAAGTATGTGCATATATAAAAGCAAAAATTTATTAGTGCATGAGGAAAATTTCGTTACGAAGTTTTCTTGCACGAGTAATCTTATTATAATATTAAAAAAACATTTATAATTTATAATTTATACTAATTTATAATATTAAAATTTATTATAATATCAAAAACATTTATAAACTAATAAATTATTAAAATTTATAATTTATACTAATTTATTTCAAAAAATTTGTAATTATAATAATAATATATCTTGATAGTAATGACAATAATAATAATAATAAAATAAATAATATAATTAAAAAAAATTATCTAATTATATTGGTGTATGCTAAAACCTTTTTTTTCCTTATTGTAAGATATTAAAGACAATAAATAAAAAATTTATATTTTGTTAACGCATTAAATAACAAACAAGTTGGATATATAATTTTTCAGATATTTTATTTCAATAATTTTTATTTTTAAATATAATATTTATAAATTCATTCTTAATTTGTTATATTATACCATTACTACATAAAGTAAAGGAGAGACTAAAATTTTACAATAATAAAAAAAATGTCAAAATAATGACAAAAGTTAATCCAAAAATGGCATCATGATGAAAAGAAACATCTTCAAAATTTCTTCAAATTTATACATGTTTATTTTGCAAGTAGTTGTAACTTAATAATAAAATATTATATACGTATCAAATCTAAATTAAAAAAATATGTACAACTGTAAATTGTTTGAAGTTAATTTTTTTTCTATTATAATAAATTGACTGTAAATTAGTTAGACATGATACAATGATAATAATAACTCACATATTTTTAATGCGAAATAATTAGTAATGCGAGTTCCCTCTATTAGAGAAGTCCAAATTTGCACAACAGAAAAGAATAAAAAATAAGTTCAGTACACGTCACAAGTATGATGGCTGAAAAAAATATTAGATGGTGACATTGACAGAATTAATCGAATCGAGGACACTTCCCAAATTCGGAGGCCAAAAACAGCGTTCATTCGAGTAAATAAAATGGCATGAATTATAAATTTATTCCTTCTCAATTCCATTTTATCCTTAAAACAAAACTCAAATATTCTTAATGAAAAAATTAGAATAAAATAAAATCCATAGCCTTTGCCATCCTTAATCCCAATCTGGAAGATACCCAACATTCCTTGCTACGGAATATGAAGCCGTTCCTTCCGATCGGCATTGTTTGTTTTTATTTTCATTTTTATTACGACCATCTGCATCTCCTTCAACTTCTAAACAATTCTATTCCTTATCATCTCATCCTTTCCATCTTTAATATTTTATACATAACCCTTATACTTAGTTTTTTATTTAACAAGATATTCTCCACTCTCCCACGTAACCTCAATCTCAAAAACAATACATCACAACAAAAATATACAATCAATTATACTCTGTAATATTCTGCTTGTCATCATCTTCAATGTCAATCAAATAAACCCTAACAATTCTGTTTAATCGAAATATAATGTTGGCATCTTTACAATAAAACCACAAGTTCCATTTATTTTTATCTGCATCTTCCAACATCTAAACAATCCTACTCTTTGCCATATCAACCTTTTCATCATCTTTAACCATCAACGTTACAACTTATCATCTGAACAAAACATACATGACACACGTCCAGTGATAAGGAATATTAGCACACATAAGAACAACAATTCACATCACTGTAGTCACAATAGACAAACAAAGAATGTAACTTGTTTGATTAGTGTCTATCTATAAATTTACATTTCAGATTACAACAACGCATGAAGTTGGATTCCCAACAAATGGTTGGAGTTCCTTTCCCGGGAATGATTTCTCCTCAGAGTTTTTAACTAACATGAATCTATACCATCTAAGTATCACCTAGAAATAAAGTGAAAAAAAAAAAAAAAATCAAAAACTTGTATCACCAATATCCCCATCAAGAGTTTGAAACAGAACACTTGTTCAGAGGCACATTGCGTGATCTCCATAATGTTCTTACCATCTTGATCATGCAGCACCATGCCATTGAAAGTACCAAAGCTGGGAAACGACCCAGAAGAAGCCCAACAAGGGCAATCATAACTAGAACCATGGAAGAACCTGAATTCCCAACCCTCGCTACTCTCTTCTCATTGTACGAACAGATGATTCCACACTCAACCTCATCTTGTTCAGTCTTACTTGACTTATCCGTGTTCTTATTCTCCTCTTCAATTTCTAATATAGGTAGCTTATCTTCTCCCACAGCGCTCGAAACTTCACTACCTGACTCATCCTCAACCTCTTTATTCATTTTATCCTTTTTCTCTTTCTTAGAGCCACGAAACTTCTTAGGCACAAGCTTTTTCACCATCTTCGACCCAAACCTACCACTTCTACTACCTTTAATCTTGCATTCAGAAACTTCAAGAACATGTGAGGAACACTCCTCAATCATTTCTGATTCCACGTGACCACTGATAGAACGCATTTCACAACAAATCCCCACATCGCTCACAACCTCGATTTCATCAATTGAAAAATCCTCAGAAAAGCTCAATCGAGGAATTTCAATGAATTCACTCCCCCGAACACGCTCCTTCTTCAGAACCCGAACTTTCTGGAACCACGATTCCACGGCGGAGCACGAAACGACGCGTCGCCCCGCGTATTCGAGAAGCAGAAGCGCGAACGTCGACACGGTGATTCCGACCGTGAGCCTCTTCACGCTCGCTACCACAATTAATACCATCAGAATCCTCACAACCAAAACGACGTTCACAGAACACTCCGCGACCTGATCCGGAACCGAGACGATGTCGTTTTGTTCAATTTGAGGGTTTGGGACACGAGGTTCGGGGTGCGGCGGCGGTGGAGAGGTGGCCGGAGAGGGAGGTGGCGGGGGAGGATCAGGAACGTCGGGCGGAGGCGGTTTTCTGGAGCGGTGTTTTCTAAAACGGCTTCGGTTTTTGACGAAGAGGTCGATGAGGGAGGTGGGAAAGCCGGTCTCGACGACGAGGGAGCCGCCGCGTTTTGGCGATTGGAGATCGGCGACGATTTGGGAGATTCGAGGGACGCGGTTCTTCTTCCACGGAAACGGCATCGTCGTCGAGAGAGAGAGAGGAGTGAAACGCACTAGAACGCAAGAGTGGGTTTAGTTTAGGTTAGGAATAAAAACGGAACATTGTTATTATAAGATTGAAGTGTTAAGAAAGGGAGAAATTGAAGAAGGATACAAGCAACCGGTTCCCACGGAATGAGAGAAAGAAAATTAAACACCATCAAGCCGCGTGAATCAGTGTGTGTGAATGAATGGATGAATACTTTGTTTAAAAAGAAAGTTTTTGTGAATTGAAAACTCCCGACTCTACAGTACCACCTCTCTCTCTCTCTCTTTTTTTTAATTAATTTATATATATATATATATATATATATATATATATATATATATATATTTGAAATTTATCTATGTGATCATATTTTTAATTTTAAAACTTAATATTTAACGTGTCTGAAGTTATAACGACTTTTTCGCATCAATGCTTAAAGAAGTTGTTGCATAGTCGTGCTTTTCTCCTTTAGTTTTGTGTAAATTAATAACTTATTAAATGATTTTTATCTCGAGATAATGCCATGCGTTGTACGGCACTTGTTGCTGGTTTTAATTCTTGGAATTATTTGTTTCCAAAATTTAAGTCAAGTTTCTACCGCGTAAACTCATCCTTATTTGTAATTCTACGATATAAACCTATGTGTTCTGAAAGCAATTGATATAATTAATTAATTAATTAATCATTTTTGTGGAGTGCTGATTCTTTTTATTTGTTTTTAATATATTTTGTTTTAGGAGAAGGTGGGTTGGTTTTTGGTTTGGTGAAATAGTAATAGGAATGTTTTTATATAGAGGGGAGAGAAATTGTTGAATATTGATGGTATAATAATGAAGATTAAGTGTGAGTGAGAGTGGTGATATAATACGTTATACACTGTATTTATTTATTGAAGTTGTTATATGTCCTCTCATGTCTTTATTTTAGGGGCTTTAGAATGTATAAAATTTGAATCTATTCACTCTTATTTAGTAATATATATTTTTTATAAATACTTTAATATCATATATCATCACAAATATATTTTCATAAGATATATTTTTTTCTACCAAAAAATATATATTTTCATGAAAAAAAACTATTGGGGATGGGAGCTAATAGGGTATTCTACTAGATTAATTTGACTAATAATATATATAAAAAGTAGGGTAATGATATTAATTTTAAGAACTTTTTCTATTATATTTATTATATAATTCAAAACTTGTTTAATAAGAACAATAAGTTAACTTATGATTTAAAATATTAAATATTGTTAAAAATACATATGCATTATATTTTTATATTATTAATTGTTTAAAATAATTTTTTTGTAATATTATAATTAAAATTTATTTTATTTTGTAGTCTATATCACACATTTTCTTATTACTTTTCATCTGTTTTTGTTTATATATATACATATATTTTATTTTATTTATCATGTCAAAATAAAAATAATATAATTTTATAAATATAACACCAAAAATCGTTGTAAAAAAGAATTTTATTTTATATAATAAATATTTTTTAATAAAATAATTAAAAATAATCACAACCCGCTTTCAAAATTCACCTTTTTATTATATCAGAAAATAAATTTTATGAAAACAAGTTTCTTCATTTTGCAACTGTTATTTAGTTTCAAGATAAAACTTATTTATATGAATGGTTGAAAATATTTTCTTTTAGAAAGAGCAGGTATCACTTAAAAGGAAGTAAATTTTTAAATAAGATAATAATATATTTAAAAATAAGTAATAAGTTGAATTTATTCCTTAATTAAATTTCGTTATATAGAATTAAGAAGATGATGATAAAATAACAATTAATAAAATAACATGTAATAAAATAATTAAATAAATATAATAATTTATAATAAATTTGAATACGATAATTACACTCCTTATTCTCAAGACTTGTGTTTAAATATTTGTCAGAGCTATTTGCTACTTTATTAGCTATTAGTTTATAGACTTTGTTTCTGCTTCTTTTGACTCAAAATGGGTTATATATTCAAACAAATAGGACATCCTGGTGTAGAATAAAAGTAAAGTCAAGTCTTTCACATTTTCTCTACAATATGGTGGTATATAATTATATTAAATGTTAAAACGAAAAAATTTGTTATTTACAATAATTATATATCCTACCCTAACAAAACTCTATGCATATTGTAAAAACAACACCAAAATCAAATTGTAGCTATGTATAACAATAAATCTATGAATAAAGAATATGAAACGCGTGGTGATCCTACCAAATATTACAATCTGAAATAGAGAGGTTAACCCTAGTCTGAATAAGTAACATCACAATTAATTTTGCTATTGCAATTATTTGGCAGCTTGACATGGACTTGCTTGTCCCTTTATGAGCTGCCTAATTCAGTAACACAACCCATTCCCTTTCAATCTAATATGGATTATTATATCACTTTCCTCCATCATAATTGGTTGCCAGCAAGAACTACAAAATGTGAGGTTACATTTGTTAATTAGCAAAATAAGATGAAAAGAGAAAAGAAAAGTTGTCACAAATACTATACAAATGTAACCCATAAGAGCTGCCACAGTGAACTCCAACAACTCTTCTTTCTTTTTAATCTTCTTTTTCTTAAGCAGCCCTTAGATAATATCACTTGATTGTGATTGACTATATAATTCTTTCCACTACACAATGAACACTAGGTGCTGCCTTAATAATTGGAGCACACTAGATACAGGACCCATTTGCCCATTTTTATTTTTTTTTCCTGTTAATCGAATTACATATAATGGATTTGTATATGCAGGCTTTAGGATTATTAAAAAGATTGACTTTTTGGGGTCCCAAAAGTGGGATAAGACTCAAAGAGAAAAGTTAACCCTTCAAGCTAAAAAAGAGGAAAAAAAACCTATGATTAAGGTTGTGTTTGTGTGTGAGTGAGTGACAGTGGGGTTGGTGGGTATCCCAGGCTCGCAGGCAGAGTTTCTTAGAACAGAGGAATCATTTTAAGACAAAAACAAAACCGAATAATTTAGCATGTTTTCTTGGACCTTATAATACAACCCTTGTTGAGCACAACAACAGGTGATGTAAATGCCAAGTCAGAATCATTGTGGAACATTAGAACAAGAAGCACGTGGAATCATATGGAATTTGACTCTTCTTGGTCTCGTGCTTTGAGAAAGTGATATATACCTGTCTACTCCTTTCATCCCCTACCTCTAGTTTTCACTCATCTTCCTCTAAGCTCCATATTGGACATGTCATAGGTTAAAGCTTTAAAATCAGTGCTCTGTTTATTTATTTATTTATTTCTCTGGTGTATTAGGTTGTTCTTTTACCAATGAAGTGTGTCACCGAATGTGAACTAGTGGACCAAGAAAAAAACTGATTCTCTCTGCTCATATGGCACCAGGACCAGAATGTAATGTAGAACACGAGAGATTCTTGTACTAAATCATTGATAATAATAATAATAAATTGTTAACATTAGTCACTGTAATTTTTATTCAATGAAAGTTAATGATTTCAGAATGCTTCATTGATTTAATAATACATCAATGTAAGTGAGTAAAGTAAGGTAATACAAGATTTTTTGAGCAGGGTAATCTCATTTTGAAGGCCTTTAAACAAAGAATATCCTCTCCAAATTGGGAGGAAAAGAGAGTGTAACAGTGAGAGACCAATGTCGCATGAACATGGTGCCACCATGAATTATTATTGCAAAGTAGAGACCAACTTTGAACAAATAAGACATGGCCTAATCCAGAAGGTATTCGAATCCAAAACATCATCAAGAAGAGATATGGAGTTTCCTTGACAGACCCGCCAATTGAAAACCTTTTCAATAATTTTCCTTCCCCACCAAATGCCATGCTTATGACCAGCTTTTGGTATCAAACAATGAATCAACTGATAAGTACTTAATCACTCTTTTATGAATTTGTTGAACAGATATTTGTCATCAATAGCCTCTAACTCTGTCTGCAGTTGCTGATCATGACATAGTTCAAACACTTCAAATCCTTAAAACATATACTGAGTTATATTATTTGATTTTATTTTACTCTTACAAGTCCGGTTAGGTGTGCTAATAATTTCTTTTACATTACTTTTGTCCCCACAAATCTATTATCTTAGATAGGTATGCTTGATAAAGATTAAAGTTAGACAAATGACCAATTATTTTTGAAAATTTTGTTAAACAGCTGATAAAAACAGTTCGAGTATTTATTTAAAATAAATTACACTAAATAAAAAGCTAGGACTCTTTTTGAACTTTTCTCCCTTCGAGCATAGTGCTCTGCTCTTTGACTATTATAACTTCACTTTATCTTCAATAAAAGTAGAAGTCTTTATTCCAGAAAGCTGAAAATAAGCACGCAGTCAAATATCATAAGAAATACTTCTTGTAAGTTGACCTGTCTCTGAACTTAAAGAAAGGGGAACCTGGAGCCTTATCTCTCATGGTGTGTTTGTCTTGTTCTCAGTATTGTTCTTGAGTGTTACAGTATTTTCTTTTGGAATACAAACATTTTCTCACCAGATTCTTCGCAAATGAGATATGGAAGAAAATAAAAGCTCTGAACATGTTACCGTACAAAAGAAAAGAACGTTTGATCTCCTGATAAAAGTTACCAAGTTAGTGATTAACTCATCTGTTCCATTTATAGAAACTTGAGCCACATCAAATGGATATATAAGTGTGTTTGCAGATTGGAAGCCAGGGTCAAGTAAAGTTCGAATCATGTCATTGTTACTCATTATCAAAACAACCCTGTTTCACTCCCCAGTTATCTTTTTTCCTTTTCTCACAAGTCCAAAATGGATTTGTTCACAACATCACCAACCATGAAAGAATAGTAACAGGAAAAATACAAATTCTCTCTTGAACACTAGTAAGAGAAAAGAGTAGTCCATACTAGCTTTTGTAAAGTTCTGCATTGAAAGAGGAATATTTTAAACCCTTGCTAAATTGAACCAACAACTTCTGCAGCACAAGATTCTTCAATTTGATTGTGCTGGAGGAAACTGGGGTGATCAATCAGAGAAAGCAACACACCCTTTATCCCCAAATTTCAAATCTTCGTCACCTAACACAATACACATTATTAATGCACGTCAATAAAGCCTGCTAACAAACCAAACTATTTAACAATAATTTTTTCTTGTCACTTAAGCTTCCCTGTTAACACTTTAATCAAATGCAGGACAGGGACACCTTTTAATGACATAATTAATGCAAATTGGTTGGTTATAGTGACAAAATAATTTGAAGATTTCTGCTCTTCAAGACACTGCGTTAAATAGAGAATTAGGCATATGTTTTTCTTCTTTAAAAGGTGCCACACGAAGATGTCTCGTGGTTAAGGGGGCAAGATGGGTTACCAAGTTTGAAGATCTTCAATGCTCATTCTCAGGATACCAACAACCTCACCAAACCAAATAAAAAATAATCTAACTTCCATTTAAAATTGGGTGGATAATTTTCAGATTATTTGGTTCGAATTTAAAAAAGTTGAAACTTTTTATTATGTTCTATTAGTTTCTTCATGAATTAAGTTTATTATATACTTTTGATTTGAAAGACACAATTTAACAACTTTCAATTAAATACTTTTTTTTTTAGTTTTAATAATATAAATTCATTAACTATTTTTACACTGCATAGGCTTGTAGTGATTTGACATATCAACTTGATTTGCTAACACTACAAATGAAATGAATATTATAAATTTACTTTTGAAACGGAAAATCTAAAGTGACACGTTTTAATTGTAGTTGATGAGTTAGTTCATCTAAGGAGAAACTTATGTCTTCTGGGATGATAGAATTTGTACTTTTGCTCTTTTAAGATTTCTTATCTTCTTTTCACGTTTCAATCATTTGTATTTATGTTTGACAAAAATTTTCTCAATTAATAATCCAATAATATTTTAGGACGTCTTTCCTTATATAAATCATATAATTTTCCTTTTGTTTAATATGTTCCAATACCTCTCAAGCCATTAATTTTTATCAAAAAATTATTTTTATGTTATTATATTTTTCAAATTTCAGTTGATTATTTTAAGATAGTTTTTTTTTTCACAAAACCTCCCATGCTTGTATTTTCAAACCATTTTTGTTGTTTTATCAGAATACGGACAAAAATGAGAAGCTAACGAAAAAACAATAATTATTTCTAAGAATTTAAGATGAAACAAACACGACCAAATTTAATCAATTGAAATAATGCTTTTAAAACTTTGACGAGTCATTCAAGGTTCATTTCGTGATAACAAAAATCACGAGAAAAAAAAATCAACTAAAATATAAAATATACGTGTATGTCTATAAAAAGTAAGATGAAAAAAATTCCATTAAAAATTATATCATAAACGTGTGTATTTTAAAAAATAACATGAAAAAGTCAATTAAAAAAATTTATATAATTACAAAATTACTTATCTAAATATTATTTTTATAATAAATTAATTTTTAATTAAAGTTTTTTAATTAAGATTTAATTTTCATATTTTTAAAATATATTTAAATTTGAATTAATGAAATAATATCATATTAAAAATATAAAATATCTTCCTGCCAAGCTAACTCTAGTTGTCGCATCCACGCGTATCTTTCCGACTCTGCATCTCCACCAGTTCCCCTAAATCTCTATCGTTAATCCTAGTCATCGTGTAGTCTTCGCATCCACACGATGCACCTTCCCGATCCTGTGCCTCCACTAATACTCCTAAATATCCACCGCTAAGTTGCCTCCCCCACTGGAAACCACCGTAGCACCCTCATCTCTCTCACTTGAACTCTAGCCGTGCATGATTCTTGGTCGTGCCTCACTCGGCAACCCTAGCCCCTTCGCAACTCTGATATCCTGTAGCTCCCATCACTTGCAACTCCCATCTCCAGCGTTTTCATTAGGTTTAAGTTTACGTTAAGAGAAAATGAGTTGAGAGACTGAAAATGGGCTAAAAATAAATAAAAAATGCGTGGCCCAAACTGGAAGGGGTGAAAATAGCATAAAATACTTCAAATAGCAATCTGCAAAATTTTCATGAGTTCTTGGGGTTAATATATTTTTTTTGAACAACATAATACAATAAATTACAAAAAAACAAAAAGAATTATTATTATTATTATCTTATTATTATTACTATTATTTTTTTTATTATTTAAAATCAATAAATAAGTAGATGAATAATATTTTACATTAGTAACAATTAAACTTTTTTTGTATTACAACCTCTTTTTTAATTAGAACTAATAAATTTATAAAGTTATCCAAATATAATTACAATTTTGATTTAATTATTATAAGATTAAAATTATATGGTTATTTGGAACGCTTTTTGATTTGATCGTTATAAAAATTAATTTAAAATGTTAAATGTTTAGTACAATAAATTTCAAAAGGGTTTAATTATGGTAATAATCTGTTTAGGACACATTTTAAGCTAATTATTACTTAAAATTAAAAAAATTAATTAATCACTTTAGACGTACTTTCAATTTGATTATCATGAATTTATAATAATCACTTCGAATGTACTTTTGATTTGATTATAATAAAAACTGATTTTTAAAGTATCTTAAATCCACGTAAAGAAATGATAAATTTAATAATTAAAAATATTTGAATATTAATAATTACTTTGGATGTATTTCCAATTTAATTATCACTTAAATTATAAAAAAGAACAATAATCATTTTAGATGCACTTCTAATTTGTTTATTTCATAATTATCTTAAGTATATTTTTAATTTGTCAACACTAATAAATAAATGTAAATAAATTACTCACAAATACATTTTTTATAAGAAAGAACTACGTTACTTCGATTCTCCATTGTACCTGGGGATACGTAGGAGTAGGGAGATGATCTCTGTCTAGGTAATAATATAAAAATATATAATTTTTTATTTAGTAGCAATATCTAAT